CTATCTCTGCAGAAGTCTTAATTTCACAGCCTGATGTGATCTTTTTTTCCAATTAACAACAAAGGGGTTGATGTTTTATTTTTTTAATTCTGTTCTGCTTTTTTATTGCAGAGCAAGTCTGTATCTCCACAAAACAGCCTGCGAGGCAGCGAGAAGCATCGCAACTCTGTTGACTACAGCAACGACAGCAAGAAGAGAAAAGTGGAAGAAAATGATTCGGTCCACCACTACGTGAGTGAATGCAGCCTCTCTTATTTTTCATATATTTTGGTGTAGGCTGATATTTTTCAAGAGTGGTTTACATTTAGCAAGTGGGGTTATTTTTTGTTTGTTTCAAATTTTACAGGACAGCGATGTGGACAAAAGTGATGACAACTTGGAAGTAGATGTCTCAAATGAGGTTTGTGTTTATTTAGCAACACGTGTCCTTATTTCTTCAGATGTTTTTTTTCAATAGCAAACGCAAAATATTACATTTAACTGAAGTGCTTTATCTCTCTCCAAATTATGCACTCTAGGACCCATCTTCTCCAAGGGGCAGTCCAATCCACTCACCTCGTGAAAATGGCTTGGACAGGTCTCTAAATGGGAAGAAGGACACGTCCATCAGCCCAGGGTCTGTGGCCTCCTCCAGTAGTACCCCCTCATCCAAGTCCAAGGACCTACCCCAGGTAACCCTAATGACCTATATCCATGGGTTAAACATGCTATGAGCAGAAGAGAAGAAAGCAAGAATGCGTGGAAGAAATTTTGAAAAAAACTCTTAAATTATTCCATAAGATTATTAAAATCGATAATGGGTGACGTTTTGGATGATGGCCCTTTTGGCCTCTCCTATGAAGAATGGCCATTTCTCAAAATGTCACCGAGGATATTTTTCTTCTTTAAGGGGACTTATTGACGAATGTGAGATTTGTTATTTGTGTTTATCCATCGCCGCCAATGCAGTGCATTATCGCAAAAAACATTTGCCAAAGACGGTAAAGGTTATAATGCTGATCACTTTCATAATACTGTATGTATTTTACTTCACGTTTTTGTTTGTAGGTCTAATGGGATATCGTATTAATCTTTGTGTGTGTGTGTTTTTTTTAGAATGATAAAGCCAGCAGCTTGGTGTCCAAGACAAGCACGCCAACCCCACGCAGTGAATTGCCAGGCCCCGGAGCGAGCCTGACTCCAGGCTTGAGGCCTGTTCCTGGAAAGCTGTCTGCAGTTGATCATCTCGGTGTGTGATTCTTTATTTGTTTTAGCTAAGGTGGAAATAAAATGTAAAAAATGGCATGTCACTTGGAAGACTGTAAAGGGAAATGAAAATTCAGTCTTACCTTGCATTACTAAAATTAGTGCAATATTGGGTCTTGCTTATTAATGTGTTAGATCTGAGCTCTTGGTGCAATTTTGACTTTCAAGACCTCACCCTGTTCACTTGTCACTAAGCTTGAACAGGTCACTAAGCAGTACTCATAAACTTATACTTTACTCACTTGAGAGTGATAATTGGCTGTGAAGAAAAGTAGTTTTACATATGTTTGTAGATTTTCTTATTTATATTGAGAATATAGTGTAGGCGAATTTACTGCAGAGACATGACAGGTTAGAATGAGAGGTCCTCAGAATGTGCAGGATAGCGTGGTCAGAGTGAGAGCCCAGTGCCTGTTTTTTTAATTCTAAAAGCTCCCTACAGCTTGCATCAAGTGCCCAGGGGAAGTTGCTTATTTTGATTAATCAAGAGAAACCCTATATAGCTGCTGACACCGACATGAAAAAAAATGCTGCAATTAAGTATTTTCTCAGAACCCTCCCAGGAGTGCTTTCTAAGATAATACGTTTAACATGTCGAGTAACAAATTGTTTTGCTCCTCCCGTACAGGTGCTGGCCTTAGGAACCCACTGGCCTCAGTTGGCGGGCCGTTTGGCAACCCCTTTGGGATGATTCCACACCCCGGGCTGAACGGAGAGCTGGCCAGCCCCGGGGCGTACGCCAGCCTGCACGGCATGTCCCCGCAGATGAGCGCCATGGCGGCCGCGGCCGCCGCCTACGGACGCTCGCCCATGGTGGGTGCCCGACACGCTCTGCATTGGTCGACTGCGTGGTCACATGACGGGCGTCGCTCGCCTATGGTGGGTGTAACGTGGCACTCGTCATACCTTTGTCTCCCTCTGTATTGGCCGAATGCATGGTCACATGACTGGCGGACGCTTGCGCATGGTGGGTGCCCTGCTTCCTGCAGAGCAAACCACTCGCTGTGCTCCGTTTGTCGCTGTTGCGACCCTTTGCAATAAATAGCAACAATTTATAATCCCCATGTGTGGCTCAGAAAGTACTATTGTGTTCATGGAAAATCAAGTAAATTTATTTCATACACTCAAAAGTATGCATAGCCAAAACAGAGCATTTCTGTACTTAACTAAAAAAGCACATCTACTAATAATGTACAGGTCAATCCAGTGCTGGATGAAGGCCACCCCATGCCATATTTGTTTATAAGGGTTCTTTAACCATACATATCCACACTAGTCAGTGGAGGTTGAAAAAGGAGTGCCCAAGACTGGTTCAGATTAACTCGCCACTCAAGGATAGTTGTGGTCTGGAATCGAACTCTAGTCACTGAGGGTTCATAGGTGCAGTGTGCAGACCACATTAGCAATTTAATGAGCTAAAGCTGTGGAAGCTATCCATTTCTATCTCATACTCGCACACTCTTTCCCAGTTGCACAATGTCAAATATACAGTGTTTTCCACACAACGACAGGGCTCGTGAAACGGTGTGGGAGCGTCTCCCTGTTCACAGGCATGGTGTGCTCTACTGCTCTGTAATTATGACACGTTTGTTGTGCGTACGTTGGATGTATTGCAGGTTGGGTTTGACCCTCACCCCCACATGCGAGCACCTGGCATTCCTCCCAGTCTAGCTGCAGTACCCAGTGGAAAACCGTAAGTGATTTCGCGACTAAAAAAACATCTTGCGTACATCATTGTAACAGCAAACAGATTTACAGAAAAAAACATGCAATTGCTTCATTGTGAAATACATATGAACATTCAGTACTTTTGGTTCATTATCTACATTCTGAAATGTACAGCTATACTTGACCGGCCAAGCATCATAGCACCATCCACCCCAGCTAGTTTTTCACAGCAGTACATGCCTCTGGAGCAGAAAGGCCCTTGTCCATCTAAATCTGGTGTAGCCAGGTATGATGATGGTGGCCAGCTAGACAGTTCCGATTACCACGCAGTCTCGCTCTGGACGCCATAGGCCAGGGGCATTCTCTCAGTATCTGTTTGACATGACCGGAGCGTAGTAAGCTTCTCTTGGCGATCCCAACGTTGATTGCTTCCAAGGCTGGTATGCGCTGTTATTGCGTTGTTAAATTCTGACATCACTTGAGCTTAATAATGTTTTTCTTTTCTCCAGGGCGTACTCGTTCCACGTGAGCGCGGACGGGCAGATGCAGCCCGTGCCGTTCCCTCCGGACGCCCTGATGGGCCCAGGGATCCCGCGTCACGCGCGGCAGATCAGCACGCTGCCGCACGGCGAGGTGGTGTGCGCCGTCACCATCAGCAACCCCACGCGCCACGTCTACACGGGGGGCAAGGGCTGCGTCAAGATCTGGGACATCGGGCAGCCGGGAACCAAGACGCCCGTTTCCCAGCTCGACTGCCTCGTAAGGGACTCCCGTTCATTGACCACCCAATGTGATTAAGCAACTAAACACTTGCAAAATGCAAGAAGTGTAGTGGGCGTACTGAGTTAGGTAAAGGTGCAGTCCCATATATAATTGCTTGCTCGTGCTACTTCTTGCCAGAAGCTCTAAGATAGTCCCTCCAGAGGACCCTCTACATTTCCACGTGATAAGCCACTTTGTTGAGCTATCATTTACGGCAAAGAGCTACATAGCTCAGTGGGCCTTACCTGCTGAAATAAAAATGTAGTTTGATCAGACGTCTAGGCAAAGGGAGAGGAGTTACCCACACTTTACCCCACCACATGTGACTTGCCAATCAACTCATCTTCAGAGTACTTACATTCGACTTGTGGTAAACGTGTATTTGAATGTTTTTTTGTTTGTTTCCACCTTAAAACAAAAGAATCGTGAAAATTACATCCGGTCGTGCAAGCTGCTGCCGGACGGGCGCACGCTGATCGTGGGCGGCGAGGCGAGCACCATCTCCATCTGGGACCTGGCGGCTCCGACCCCGCGCATCAAGGCGGAGCTCACGTCGTCGGCGCCCGCGTGCTACGCGCTCGCCATCAGTCCCGACTCCAAGGTGTGCTTCTCCTGCTGCAGCGACGGCAACATCGCCGTGTGGGACCTGCACAACCAGACGCTCGTCAGGTCCGTCGCCAGCCGCTTCCAGCAGGCACCAGCAGACACGAATTGCCGCGCCACGCCGCGCGCCAGAGCCGGCGGCTTCATAAAGCGTGCGTGCCCTGGGTTCGACTCGTCCCACAGGCAGTTCCAGGGACACACGGACGGCGCGAGCTGCATCGACATTTCCCACGATGGCACGAAGCTGTGGACGGGAGGCCTGGACAACACCGTGAGGTCGTGGGACCTGCGGGAGGGCAGGCAGCTGCAGCAGCACGACTTCACCTCGCAGGTGTGCTGCCTGCACCCTCTTCTTCTTGCCCTGTCTTGCAGTCAGAGTTTTATAGATATTTAGTTTATCTAAGCCCCCCCCCCTCACCCCCATCAGCTCCCCACCTTATTCCCTGACGAAGCCCAATCTGTTGTCTAATTTTCACAACAGTTGGATTCTGTGTCATTTGGAAAGCAAAACGTTTGGCCACAAATCAATTGACCGTGCCTATGCTACCTTCCACTCACCTATTGACAAACATCACTTCTGGTTGAAAAACCACACCCAGCGCCGACAGCTCGAACGCCGGCCACGAAGCCGGGCCAAGAACGCAGGCCGATGACGCGCGGTGTGAATGAATGTCTCTCCTCGCCCTCGGTAGATCTTCTCGCTGGGCTACTGCCCGACGGGGGAGTGGCTGGCCGTGGGCATGGAGAGCAGCAACGTGGAGGTGCTGCACCACAGCAAGCCCGACAAGTACCAGCTGCACCTGCACGAGAGCTGCGTCCTCTCCATCAAGTTCGCTTATTGTGGTGAGCAGTGAGGGCACGGCATGGTGCTGGCGAGGTGGGAGGAGGGAGGTTGTTTTAATTACGAGCAAAACCTTTGGGTGAAGAGAGATTTATGCATAATGCTGTAAATTACATTAATTCATCGAAAATCTCTCTCCAGGGATTTAGTCTCTGATTTTCATTATTGTAAAAAAAAACTCGTAGAATGTACTTCAATATAGTAGAAAGCAAATTCCCATTACTTAAATACCATTTAACCTCACATTCAAGCTGAATTTAATATCCCCGCTTTGCATTTCAGGAAAGTGGTTTGTGAGCACGGGAAAAGATAACCTGCTCAATGCCTGGAGAACACCTTACGGGGCCAGCATATTCCAGGTAACTAATTTTACGTCTAATGCGTAAATAATATCCAGTATGGTTTTTAAAGCGCTTGGGTTTTTTTAATTTTTATATTGTTCAGCAAAACTACGATTGTTTTCTCTTTCTTCCAGTCCAAGGAATCTTCATCAGTCCTGAGCTGCGACATCTCTGTGGATGACAAGTACATAGTTACTGGGTCCGGAGACAAGAAAGCCACTCTGTATGAAGTAATTTACTAAATGTGATTTAAGCAACTCGAAGTTTTAAGAAACATGTATAGGTATGTGATCTTTTTTTTCCTAGCTGAACAAAATATATATAAAAAAAATACTGCTTTGTGAACATTAATTGATAGCAGTTATTCAACCAGCGCAGTGGCATTTAGTTTTAAGATTTTTAAAATCAAACCTTCTTTGTAAATAATGGTCTGAATTATGTTGCGTATACGCAGGCCTAAAAATGTTTAACTATATTTGTGAGCGTCTCCCATTTGGGTGTGTACAGTTTGAAATATCTAATTGTGGGTTAAACTTTGATATTCTGCTGTTTAGGTCTTGCCTAAATCATTATTATTGTTGCACTAAACTTGAACGTGTCCCCCCTGTGCGCTTGTTTAGTCATTTTGGTATCTCAAAAGCTGATGTCTGGATTGTACATTTCCATACTGTTGGCAGCAAACTGCATTGTTGTTGAAGTTTCTTTTGTTACCATATTTTAAAAGACTGCCTTTTACTGTAAAAAATGTATATATTAAATATTTCATTACAACAACATTGAATCCAGTTTTCATATTTGAATGGTCTTCAAATGGGGTTACTTAAGATTTATGCCTATGCCTGACATGCAGAAAGTATGAGAATTCCAATTGCACCCAGATACTTAATATTATTTATTTCACACGTCCGTCGCAGCACTGCAAACGGCAAGCACAAAATTCAGCTATAAAAGATTAATTTGCTGGTTTTATTGCCAGGGGCATGCCCCCCAGTACCTTTGCTGTAGTTTCAAGAATGTTATCCCTTGAAGCCAGGTCACTTTCACTGACAAATTACATGTTTACGATACTTTCCTCAGGAGGTATAATAGTGATTTCTGTAATTCTTGTTTTAACTAATAAATAAGCATGCATATCGGTTCAATCTTGCATGTGCACTATTCACGCAGTATGCAGCTACTTTGATGTCTGGATTTAAACTTTGATACACTCTCTCCATTTGTCTTACATTTATTTGAAAAGCTACATTTTTATTTTATTCAAAGTTCTCAACAGCTTTGAACTCCCAGATGTCACCACATGGCAAATAAATTCCATGTCCAAAACATAGTGTGAAATATATTGTACATGTAGTAGCAGCAAGTGTGCCACAAATACAGTATAGGATTTATAGAGACCAAGTATGTCTGCTGAAAACATCCTTTCTGTGGTTTGTACCATGGAACAATGAACCCCTTACGTGCATTATTATGCTTTGAAAGTTTTACTATTTTGGGCTAAGGAGTGTAACAACTTACAAATGACTGTACTCTACAGGCTATAAGATTCACCTTTTCATCCTATGTTTTAAAGCAAAAACCTGGCGGTGTGTCTTAATCTGGAGAATGCGGTAACTACACAAAAGTAAATCATGTAAAACGTATGTGGCAGTTTCATAAAAAAAAAGTCCCAAGAGCACATCATTACTTTGTATGCACAGCCCATTTGTCAATCCACTGCTGGATGAGAGCCTGCCCCAGGCCATTACCATTTGCAGGGAATATTTGTTCATACTTCATGCTGCTGAGTGTCGGCGAAGACATGAAGCGTAGATATAGGAGCATCGTACAACATTGGCCATTTCTTCTTGACTTAAAGTTTTTGTGACTGCAGGAATGAATATTCTTTGGATCTTTCGGTAAAGTCACGTCAATAGGTAACATTTTTTAAAATTAATTTTAACCTTTTTACATGACTTTACTGAAAGACCCAAAGAATATTGGCTATTTTTGCACTGCACTCGACTTCTGACAAACATCACAACAGCCTGCACCATCTGCTTTTTCTATGGTGGTCACCTAACACCAGGCACTATCCAGGATCAAATTCAGCTCAGAGTCCTAAGGTCTGATGACGTCGGACACATTTTGGGCGATTTGGTCCGAGGGTGAGTTACTTAGCAAACGTGTGTTAAAATGAGAATGCATGCACAATTCTGATTGCTATTGGAGGGAATGTTTGTGGTGTGTTGTTTGTGTATGCATTGTGTTTGAGCTCGTACACAAAATGCTAATTGTAACCCTTGTGGTCAAACTTTAAATAATTTAACAAAGCGTCAAGTGCCTTTCATTATTTATTTCGTCGTTTCTGAAGAGTGCTGATCTCCCAGGATGTGTGGCTTTGAAGCACATGCCACATTGCACCTTGAATATCCTGCGCTCTGTTCAGGCGTGTGGGCAGACCATGTGACTGCAAGATGATGGAGTTTACGTCATGGGATTTTTGACGTATCCATTCTGGATTGAATGCAATTATAATATAAAACATCAATATCCTCGTGCCAAGTGTTTGTCCATAAGAGCCAAAAGACAACCAGCTCCCCCTGCCAGATCTATTCTGAGTTTGACAAACTAAAATACATGTGCTCCTGCACACAAGTGGAATTTGTCAAGGAAACAAATTAACCCTCGTATTTGCTGGGATGCGAATCATCACAGTAGGAAGCTTTAGTGTCACTTGCTGCTCAGTATGACGTTCGATATAGGGGGAGAAATGTAAAAAAAATTCGGGGAAGGTTGGCTATTCATTACAGTTTCGTTGGTTAAACAAAAACATCTTTGAACAGAGCTTACTCTTTGAATGGTCCTTAAATATTTCATTGCCTAAAACCACCTTTTTAAAGTAGGGCTTTGTGACTGCAGTCTGCCAAAAGGTAGGATTATAGAGATAGGTTCTTGTCTGCACTGCCTGGGCGTAATCCGAATTCCCCGAGGTGGTCAGATGATCAAAATCCTAACCGGTCCCATCATGCACTGGTGTGAAAGCGGCTTAGCGTAAGCCCTTGAGAAGCTTTAGCAACGGGTGATTAATGGAATCCTTTAATCTGCTTTAGCTAGCTGCCGTGGTGTTTCTGAGAAGCTGTTTGGACGAAGGAGCCATCGTGATCTGTTTTGTAATGAGGGTTTGAATGTCTTCTGCATGTGGAACAAAAATGAATTGGGGGGGGGGGGACACCCTTTTTCAACATTCGCAGCACGAGAATTAAAAATTAAACCCCGTGTTAAACTTATAATGTAAGTATACTCATTTTGCTACAAAATAGACCGGTTATTTCTGAAATGGTCAGTACACTGGTTTTAGACTTCAGAAGTCGCCCGTTCAATTCGATATCCCGGTGCCACAGTTGTCCACCCATCGGAATAAACGAATACACACCGCAACAGTGTTATTGACAAGGTGTGTTTGGTGGGATGAATTGTGGGTGCTCCCACCTCTTCAAAGACGTCTGGCCAGCGTGAAAGAGTAGGCCATATATCGTCTTTAGCAGGGGTCCCCAACCCCCGAGTCGCGGTCCGTGGCCTGTGAGGAACCGGGCCGCACAGCAGGAGGTGAGAGCGGTGAGTCTGCGCGTGGCCCGCCCATTATTTTATTATTTACCACTTACGTCTGCGCCTCTTTACCGCACTGCGCACTTGTCTCAGTCACAGTGTTGGTAAGCCCACAAGCTAACCCCTAGTAGCCAAAATGAGTAAAAAACAAACGTCGCTGGAGAGCTTATTTGAACCCCCCCCCCCCCGGTCCGTGAAAAAATTGTCTTTCACGAAACCGGGACGCCTGATGGGCCCCCCTATTGGAGGCCTTTCTGTCAGCAGTGGCTTGAGCGACTCATTGCAGTGCTGCCCCTTTACCTTTTATTAAGTGTCAGCTTCCAGAAATCACCATGTCAAAAACATAATTAGTAAATCAATAAAATGTAACTGCTGTAAATTATTTCTGTTTAAACTCATGCAGTGTTTTTTTATCTACTTAGGTTAACTTGTAAACGATAACCTTTACAGATATTTTTTTTTCACAGCATACCATCAATATTCAGTGCTCGGTACGCTGGCTCAGCCTAGTGAGAACAGCCCTTGTGGTGTAGAGAGGAGTTGGTTCATTGCATTTGCCGTTCGTGTTACGCGTTGCCAGGAGCTGCGTGAGACCACAGCGTTGCTCCGACCTTACACCCAATGTAACTTTAGGCTGGGTTTTACGTGCGCTTCCAAGTACGAAACCAATTGAAGTTTGTTTTGGTAGCGGTGAAAGGGGTGGTGGAGGCGTTTAGACAAGCGAGGTGTAAAAGTGGCGAACCTGCTGCTTGGTGCGTTAGAAGAGAACCCTTCTTGCCCACTTGCGCGCCTCTCAACGTGCCCAGCGATCCTCGCGGTCCGACACTCGTGCGGTCAAGGGAGGTGCTGGGAGAATGTCGCCGAGTAAAGCTTGACGGTGGCCCCACTGTTTAGCACCTGGGTGTTGCAGAAGGCCAGATGATGTGAATGACCGCGAGGACATATCCTACGCAGGTGCGTCTCTCCACTTCTTCACACCAAACAGTGTATTGCGCTGCCACCCGGGTGTTTCCCGCGAATAGAAACGTCCGTCAATAACACTGCCCGAAAAAAATAAAAAAATAGCGTGCATAATGAGTGACATTTCGAGCAACTGTCCTTCTTACATTGCACATTCACGGCGGAAAACCTTTCGCCAGCGTCACGTACATACGCGCAAGTACTGAGCGGATGCTGCTGCTGGGAACTTTATTTAATTGAGGAGGAAGCGAGCTCTGTTCAGCTCCTGAAGAAGCTCCCCGCGTGTGGAGTGAAACGACGGACATCGTGCCAAACAACACGCGCTGCAAATTGGGAATAGGTCACCAAAGCTAGCCACATTTGGTTGGGCCAGCTTTTTTTTTGAACGAATGCAGCTCTGACCAAGATTGGCCAAAATAAATGTACGTTTACATTCGTAAAATGTAACATAAGTGGTCATGGCAAACCGAAAAACATTCCAGAGAAATATGAAAATACATGATCATGTATTTCTTTCAACACTGGGAGAAAATAAATTACGTGGCCTAAAATCTCTGCATTAAATAATGAAGATGAAAAATTTAAAAATACAATTACAATTATTGCAAAGGTGTGCACATTTTCTTACATTTTACCTACATTTACTGAAAATGTTATGCTTCAACAAATGTCCGCTAAAAGTAGTCAATACCCGCACAAAGTGGATAGTGGTTATGCAGAACAAAGATGAATATGTTAAATTTTGCGGCAAAAGTGCAAAACGAAATAACATTCACCTGGTAGCCTTTGAGAATTGTGCGTTAGAATGTTGCGCAGATTTTCTTCATTGTATGCTCTGCACTGCGGCTTGCCTACAGGATGTTATTGCAAATGGGCTCGACTGCAAGGAATACCAAAAAGAATTTAAATAAATAAACAGGCAGTAAAAAAAATCAGCGGTGTTTGTGTTTGTGGATGCATAGTACTCAAAACTCATGGTGGAATACATAAATAATAAATCATTAAATACATTATTTAGGTTGTCTATTCCACCCCACAGGCCTGCCGTCAATGTTCAGCTCTCGGGTTTACAAAATATCTCATTACATGCGACTGCACACGCCATCAAAAGAGTCGTGTAAAGTGCAGCGGCGTGCTATTCATAACGTTGGCTCACAACGAAGTTGGCATTGGGCGAGAGGGGCATTTTTGCCGGCTCAGGGAAGGTGCCTTGCCCACTGCTCCTGCAGAGTGCTCGAATCTCTGTTACGTTGAGCGACTCGAGTGCCGCATTTGTTCGGTCCAACAAAGCATGGCTCTCTTCCAGTGCAAGATGGAGCACAGCCTTTGGCATCTGAGGAGCGTCCGCCTCGCGCCGCTCATTCTAGAGATTATGGCTGGAGATTCTTGTTTGTTTTCACCAAAACAATCCGCACCGCTCCGCTGAACCATGAGAAAGTCAACATCCCTTCACACGTCCCTCCCGCTGTTTGTGTAAGGAAGCGAGAGAAAAGTCAAACTGGATTTATGTGGTTTGTCATGGGTAGAGGGATATGTAAGGAGCTAAAGAGGGCGAGCTAATGGCTAATAGCGGCTCTGTATATTTTGCTATGGAAATGGGAGTCGGCAATTTAAACAAACCGCACTATAAAAAGGCGACCCCGCGGTATGAAACTATTGGCAAAATACACGCAGGGTATTTGTAAGTAAATACACAGCGACGACGTTACATCGGCCACTTGTACCTAATAGAATGCGAACAGCACACGTAATCGTCATTATTATGTTTCAACATCGCATCGTTGTGGTTATTATTATTAAACGGCGAGTGCCCTGTGATTTTGATGGCAATGCTGTGCACATGTTGTTGCCCGTGGAAAAGCCAAGTCATTGGTGTAACAGAATTCCGCACTCGCTGGCTGGCAAGTTTCAAACACACAAGCTTGCTTTTTCTCTCTCGCGCTCTTCACGTTAAGTGCCTGTATTGTGAGGCAGGGACACTGCACTTTACCTGTGTCACACGAAGACTGCGATCGCAGTTATTCAGAAGGGTTTCTGTAATGCTATCAGTAAATAAATAATAGATCAGTGAGCCTAGCTCCGGTCCCCTGGACATGAAAGCACTGCGTGTGTGGCACCGAGTGGGGGAAGGTCACCGTGTTTGAACGATTTTGGTTCAGTAAGCCGACAAGAGCTGTAAAAATGGCAAGTATCGATTTACCCATGAGGCTCTCATTTCTCCCCCCATAGCCTTTCTGTCTGTCTGGACTCCTGCCCCCAAAAAATCGGTCACTTTTTAAAAGCCTCTGATTTTTTTTTACTGTCTCCAGCTTGATTGAGATTAGAAAGGGGGTCTGTTTAAAACAAAAAAGCCTTCGTCCCCGCATCGAATTGTCAGTTTGAGCATGTAACACAGCTTCCTCACCTCTCTCCACGTGTCGAAAGCACTGCGGTTATTCCTTGCAAAGGGTGTAATTGTTTTGAATTGCTATGAAATAAGCTGCCAAATTTTCCAGTTTGTAATGCACCAAAAATAACCGCAGCTTCACTCAAGATGTTTGTGACGATTATACGTTCTTTGTTTAGTTCCCTCGCATTTAGTTTACGCAGGTGAACTTTACGCACTGCAATGCAGATTGCGTGTGCATTCACACGCATATCTGAAACACTACCTGTCCGAATATAGAAAACCATATCAAGCATTCATCACAACTGCCATGGGTTGAAACTATTGGGCCATTGGCAAACTTTGTAGTAAACATTTAATTTCAGTTAGTAGTAACTAAACTAATCATGGTATAGAGTAGGCCACATTCCCTCCAAAGGGGCTCTCGAGAGCTCCCTCGAGTGGAGAACTTGTGCTCCTCTTTATATCTTATTGTAATTACATGCTCGCATTGCCATGTTTCTTTGCATACTTTTATTGTTATAGCCCTTTCTCCATTTCTTCTGGAATGTAAGCGTTAATGACGTTAAGTAAGACTCTCAAGTTCGTGTTATGAATCTCAAGTTTTCTTGGCAACAAAGCGAAGTTCAAACGGGCACAGTGAGCGCCTGTGTTTCTCGTGAATTTAACACATCTTCGTGTCCTGCCTTGTTACAGTGTATCCGTTTGACTCACTCGGGACATTAGAGACGTTCCCACGACATTAACGAACCTGAAACTCTCTGATGCTTCGTGTAATGCGCCGCTAATTGCACAATTTCCACGTAAAGAGGAACGCACGGATTAGAGAACATACGCAGGTTAATTACATAATTCAACCGTTCATAAAAGTATAATTTGGTCTGGGCTGGACAAATCGCTAGCAGGGATGATGATGGATGGTCAAGAATAATGACGGAATTGCAGCACAGGAATGGACGCTCACAAAAGGAGATGGAGTGATGAAATCTGCTCGTGTGCAGGTGATAGGGATATCATTACATCCCAGGATCTTGAGAGGTGGCGAAGGCTATGGTAGGCCTTCATCCAGCAGTGGACTGACCATGGCAATGATAAACTACAAAGTAACATTGCTCAACATGATGTCCTGAAAGCTCATTATAATCCTATTATTTTAAAACATAAATATAAGCGAGCACGCCTTAAAGCAGGTGAGTGTTTTTACACGGATTTATGAAGCTATGTACAGGGTGCCCAAAAGTCAGGAGAAACAGGATGAGTTCATTTATTTTAACGTTGGAATTAAAACATTGTTATTGTTTATTCTATAAGTTAATATTTTACCTATAATTAATATCTATTCTTCATTTTCAGATGACATTTAAAAATTGATTTTTTTACGAAAGATGAACTAGTTTAATGAACGTTTATGTATTTATTCTTTTTTTAAGTTCTAAATTATATATCTAAATAAATAATAATTCACGCATTGATGCCAATGGAAATCAGTGTGACAATTTGTTAAAATAAAATAAATGACCCTGTGTGATTTGTTAAAATATAATAACACTGTGTCCTAAATTTTGGGCCACCCTGTGTGTATACTGTATAAATATATTAGTGTGGTGTTGTAAGGTCTGCATCTAACGTGGTTGACATGGGGCTACGAGTAAATTCTAATTTGATTTTAACAGGGGGAGTGCTGCATAATGCACTGCACTCTGAACCTGGTGACCTAAGTCCTGACCTAAATCCTGTTGCTGGTCATGGTTAATATCAGTGATGAGTGATACCTGCACAAAACTGGCCCTCCCCCAACATTACCGACCTTGCACTGACCAACGTGGTGAAGTATGGTCATCCCCCCCCCCCACCTCCCCCCACTGCATCACTCACATGATACGCATCATCGGGTTCAGATTGCAGTGTCATCATCCAGCAGTGGATTGACAAATGTACCGCCAAATATTTATTTAGTACGATTGTGTATTTTAACATGCTGTGTGCATGCATGCTACACACGAGTGCACGTTAATACCGATAATTATGGTAATCGCAGGTAATCTGTGTATTTAATAACAAGCAGTGCATTCCTCATTTGCCGTAATTTACCTAATTCATTTTTTTTCAATTGATATACTTAACCCTAGATGGTAGGATGAAAAAAATATAATCTGGTTTATTGTCGCAATTAAAATGAATTTCGTGAAACGAGCACATAGAGCAAAAAGAGTGCCCTCTTGTTTCCATGAAACATGTGGAGGGCGGCTCGTGTTTATTCGACTCATTACTTCTTGACCAATCTCTGTTGTGGCTCGTCTCGGCTGTAATTACCCCTTCGATGTGAAGGTCATCTCAAGAAGCTTTTCTACCATTTTTAAGCATCCATTACCGATGTCAATCAGTTTTTTATGCAGTTTATCCAGCGGTCCCTGGTGGGCGACCTTAATTAGTTTGCAAGCCCCTGGCTAAGGCAAGAGCTTGCTCAGATTCAGATACAAAGACTCCCCAGAGCTCATGCCCAGGATTAATGGAGCCTGGTCAATTTCCACTCTAGCAAACAAGGCTTTCCACTGCCCCATTGCAAATTTAAATGAAGCCTTGTTGGACCTGGGCCAGCCCCCTGTGCTGCCTTATGCTTCCCCCGTTAGGAAGACCGTGAAACCCACTTAGTGGCTAATGGAGGAGCAGTGGCTTATGTCAATCATATTGACTTGGCTACTACTTCATTATTTATTTAACGCGAACCGCACAGTGTTAATGCACTCGATTCAGTTATTTGTCTTTACAGCAAGAAACCATATAGTGAGTAATACCCCAGACGGTTTACCATTTCACTCTGTGGTCAACATTTGATCTAACCAGGAACTCCACACTTTCTTGGCTCCAGCTTGCTGTGGTGGGTAGACCAATTATAAGATGCTTTACAGCATCGTACATAAATAGCACGAGAAAAACCTCATCCTATATTTAGAAAAGACCATTTAAAAATTCCATGGCTTTACAGAAGTGAATTTGGAAGGGGGGAAAAAAATCATCCACTATCATGGTAACGTCACATCACTACTGGCACCGTCACGTTCAATTAAAATATTTTTGATTGCGCTAATGTGGCCAAATTTCAGATCTTTAACGTAAAAACCAGACCCTTCCTGTGCAGCCTCTCTCCGTCGTAGCTGAGAAATCACAGAGCCGAGGCCACGTGGCCTCAATAACTTTCTCGCCCTCCCAGCTGGCGGACCGAGCAGTGACAGTCCTTGGGACCGTTGCTGCAAGGAACAATCCTGCACCCATCGACCATGGCCCTTCGCCGCTAAAGCGCGCTCCGCCGGGAGTCCTCGCAATCAGATCAAGACGGGCACCACAGCGATCGCCCCTTGGGCTTCATTCCACGTTGTTTTCGTCTTCGTCTTCAAAACTGCGCCACGGGTGTTTTGACCCGGTGGCGATCGAGGAAGCTGGCAGCTGGTCTCTGGAAAATACTGCCCCTCCCCCCCATCCTTCCGCCGCCTCCCCCCTCTCCCCGTGTACGTGCATGTCGTTTTGATGTTTACGAATGAGCGGCTCTCGGCGGTAAGTGTAGACGATTTTTTTTCGGGAGCCACCAGCTGAAATCCTGTAGCTAGGTCATGGTTACATTTTCCCGCGCATAATAAACTCTGCTCTACCAACATGCGTCACATTTTTTTCCTCTTTGAAGGGAAAAAAAAAGTTACCGTAAGAATATTTTAACGTTAAACACATTTAAACTGCGAAACCGCCGTTCCGATACATGCCAAAGGAAGCATAAGTCAACAAAAATCCCCACACATGCTGCAGGCAGCCAGAGCAATCAAGAGCTGTGGGACTGGCACGACACGTGAGTGACGATCTATCAATCGTCGTTGACACGGCTGGGCAGTCTGGAGGCAAATCGTTGTGCTATTGTTGTGAAGCGTTGGCAATCACCTGCTAACCCCCCTCTCGTTTGCACGGTGCCGTAGCAATGAATGGCGGCGCCTGAGGGTCTTTCAATGGAATTCCCAGAACGGTCCGAAGCCTCATGTGTCCGTCACTGGTGCGTCGTGTGCGTCGTGTGCGTGGTCCACGGCAAAGCTCTTCGGGATTTGACGCAAGTCGCACACGTGGAGGGGCGGGCGGGGTGCGTGGCCACGAACACCTTGGCCATGGGGCCCAGTGGCGGCGTGCGAGTGGCTGCACAACGGGTCCTGCAATTTTCGTGTCAGGGCTCTACGACACATTCGGCCACTGTTGAGTCGTGACATAGCCCAACACGGTGGCGTGTCGTGTGGTTTTTCGACGAGGCTCGATTATTGCGCCTCGCTGCTCTACGGGAGGTCTGGCAAAAAAAAAACAAGTCACCAAGCTACAGCATGTGCAACATTCTCTGGCACGTGTGGTGACGGGTACCGCACGATCCGACCATGTTTCGTCGAGTGGTCGAGTGCTCGCCGAGCTGCATCGGCTTTCGGTTTCCGAACAAATGCACTCATTGCACCACACAGAGTGTTTGCCACAAATGAACCACAAAACCTTGCTGATCTCGTCAAGGCGCATAAACCATCACGCGAACTCTCACGTTATCCTCTTGCAACGGCGGCTTTTGGCTTAGCCATCGAACAAAGACGGTCACTGCATCACGCGCTTTCAGATGCGCTTCTCCGGCCGTCTGGAACGCTCTTCCTTCCGATATTAGGAAACCACTGGGGCTATGCACATTTAAATCCAGATTGAAAGCTCCATCTCTTTAGAAATGCATTGTGTTTAGTTTATTGTCCTTCCCCACACCTCCGATTAGCAAGGTTGGCTACGTACGATGCGAAAGACGTTCAACATACATACGTAGCCTCGTGATGAGTATATAATAGGCTGACACCAACCAGAAGTTTCATGAAATGGCTCAACTGATTTTGAAATAGGGCCATTGCCCAAAACGCCAACCGTTTATATATGTCTCTGTTATTCGGCAGTGTTGGTGATGAATCGTGGTGGGGGTTTTAAAGTATTTATTTGTGCTTGTGCACGACGGCCAACACAGTTCCTTAATGTGTATTTATGGAGTGCTGTATAACAATATTATTGCCTCAAATATGATAACGTTACCGTGTCAAACTCATATCCATTTACGTAAAATCAATGGAATTGGCTAATGATGCCTCCATCGTTAATGCATGACATCAATGCGATTGGCTACTGGTGCCTATTTAGGTATTGTATGAGGTCAATATAATTGGCTACTGATGCCTCTATAGGCAATTTAAGAGGTCAATGCGATTGGCTACTGATGTCTCTAACGCAGTGCCTGTGTGCAGAGTAGGAACCCAAGAACAACTGCCCTGCACTACTGTTTGTGTCTAACAGCAGCAGTTGGAACACATCGGGTTGAGACGACTGAAGTCTGAGGCAGGACATTTCCATTTCTGCTGCACTTAAAATGCTTGGTGAATAAAGAAGCCAGGCAATAATAAGTAAAATAATTTACAGTCCTTTGTCAATCCGCTACTGGATGAGGGCCCTTTGCCGTCTCGCACGGTCCCGCCATGCAGTAATTCACCTAGCGCCTGCACCTGAGCTGACTTCATTGCTCAATCTCCACAGGAGACGTTTCATTGTGTGCGTTCCCCCTCGCTTGGCTGTCACTCTGTTGTTAGTTTCGACCGCCGGCAATCATCCCCCTTCCAGAGTCATGTTCTGCCCAGGCCCACTTACGTTTATCAACAGTCAACATCGTCATTCTCACCTGTGTTTGTTCTACGGTCCACGTGCTCCCGTTTCACATTTTTGAACCGGTCATGGTGAAGATGTCATTAGGGACTGTGCACAAATATAGACGAATGTAAATCAATACTAACATTGTCTATGCCAATGTACGAGGTGCTAGGTTTATAAAAGTCACGGAAATGTTTTTTGCTCAAATGAGCGGTGAGTTAGCTCCTGGTTACAGCCCTGAACCGGAGGTGAAAATTCCATATTCTTCTGGTTGGGATGAGTCTATCCACATGACAACCACTCTTGACTTCCCAAAAAAGTGGTACTTATATTATTTGACTCCAGTTGGATGATGGGCTGAGTAAACCAACTAACCTGGATTTCATAATAAAGATTTTTGGGTTAGTAAATCTACAACATTTACAATTGAGTACTCAATTGAGTGCTCAAACTTAAATGTATTCCATTGCAACAGTGTTAGGTTACTCGCCATCACACCAATGTGCTGATGTAATAGCTAATTGGCACGTTTTGCTCACATGACAAACCTTACTAAATGGCTGTCTGGTGGTGGCCAGTTAACGACACATTTATATTTATGCAATCTATTCCAAAAACCTTAATTATGAATAATATTTGTCGCGAAAGCCTACATGTTAAACTGACCTCGATTTGAAATCAAAACATTCCGATTGTGAGACATGTGCCCAACCGCTGAAACTAAACAAAAAATCTAAATTTTATTTGCCAGGTAAGGCCCACTGAGCTAAATAGTTCTTTATCAGAAGCGACCTGGCTACAAATTATCGCTCAACGATGTGGCCAGAAATTTATAGCAGCCAAATACTCTAAACGTACGTTTCTAATCTTCTAGGGGAAAACCGGAGGACCCAGAGAAAAATCTACGTGAACCCGGGGGAGAATATGTAAACTCCAAATATACAGATGTTAGGGTCGGGATCGAACCCACAACCTCCTGTATTACCAGGCAAGGTAGTTAACAGCTTGCCACCGTGGCACCTGGAAGGATTGCTTTGTTTATAACGTGGGTGATCATTAAATCATGTTCTCTCGTTCCAATGAAACGCTAAAATCAAGTACGTTCATGTTTTAAAACTTCACACTCACGATATAACATATCCGGTCTACATTTGTAGATTTGAAATTGCAGCGCTGTAAGACACGAGGCGATTGAAACCATTTGCGCAACATTCTAAAATGCCATCTATTTTTTAAGCTATCGTGTATTTAAAAAAAAAGAATTACGCTTGTGAATAAGTAACGAAGGTAAAATAGAATCTCGTTTAAATAAGTGAAAATGCGGCTTTATTAAATAGCGTGCAACTTGGACCAACTTGCGAATGAATATAATTCACCAAGCTTTCATAGAATGAAAAGTCTCCTCCTCTCAAGCATGTCATTTACATTCTCGCAAGAGACATATGTCTTTGAGCATGAGCCAGGCTCTCCCCCTCAATGCTTCCCTGAAACTTCTACAAGTTGGCCAAGGCCAGCCCGTGGCTTTGGTATAAAAATATATATGCAGCCGCTTCGTGCTAAAGGCTGCAGCAGAAATCCTGCACGCAGTCTTTCTTAAGAGAAGTGAAGAGAAGAAAAAAGGATCCTGCCAATGAGCTGAGGTAGCCCCTTCAGACGGATTGTATTTCCTGAAAAAAATTAGCTCCATGACATAGCGAGGATGCTGTCAAACGGTCTATTTGGCTTGAGCCAGAGCCAACAAAAGCATCCGGTGAAGGAAAGGAAGGGACATTAAGTGCATTGTCCGCCTCATAGTTTACTGGATGTAAAATGAAATGATTAACATTTAGATGACCCCTTGGATAACTACTGCCGTGCATCTCTGCCAAGATTACATTGTCACGGGTGCCGAGGCCGATCGTGTTGTGCTTTTGACTATCACGCTCACTTAGTGACCGTTTGTGGAACATAAACTCCGGCTGCCACGAAAATAAATAATTAATGCATGGCAAAAAGAGTCAATATTTTTTGCCAGGCGGGAGGAGCTATCATCCGCATATCGTCCCACACTTCACCCCCGCTACAACTTCAAGAAGACAGGTTTTTTTTTCTAATCTAACCTAACCGCCACTTTCATAAATCACTCCGATTGTTGCTTTTCTCCAAGCCAAAGCTGCATTAACTATTCGATGGCTGATAAAACAAATTTGAAAAATGCTGCACTGTCAATAAAGAAAGTGGCCAAAATTTGAATTTCAAAACCTCAAGCGGCATTCATTACCGAGCCTCAAAAATGCCTCTAATTTAGATTTCTTTTTTTTTACATAATCCGTACATCACTCACTGGCCAAGAAAAAAAAACATGACGATGCATTGATGCGACGTGAAGTCAACGTGAAACTGTTTCAGTAAATGAAAGATGTCACGAGAGGCAGAGATGAGGTCTGTGGCCCATGGGCCATGCTGCCACTGTCTGTCATGGACAGAGCCTCGGTACTCAGGGCTTGATGTCACGGTGTCAAGACAAATCTCGTTTGGAGATTAGAAAGGAAACACATCTCCCACGACAGCAGGGATCTGAGCCGCGTAAACACAGGCCCAGGTTTTCTGAATAAAACTGACATTTTAATAGCCGACTTCACTTGCTGGATTCCGAAGGTCTCTGGTGCAGTCGCTGGTGATTTAAGGTGAGACACAAAAGTGTCGCCGTGGGTATTTCAGGAGACTGGAATGAGAAAAAAATGTTTTATCTTTACGTTATTAAGGAAGGGGGTGGGGGACATTTTTGAATC